AAAGTTTGTAAGTGGAGTTTACATTCTCCCTTGATTGTCATACAAGGCTGCAGGGCCCCTGACATTTGTCTGGACAGTGCTAATTGTCCCTATGCTGATCACATGCACCCTCCCAAAGAAAAAAACTCTCTAGCAACATACACCAAACTGAGCATGTGCAGTTGAAGAAGGGGAGGATCAGAGAAAACAGGATCAAACAGCTTTTTAACACAATGCAGAGGATTAACCCCTTAGGTTCCACAGTGAGTATACCAAACATGCTTTACTGCATATACAGACTGATTGTACTGTTGTGGGTTTAGTAACACTTTAAGTTACAAAGTTGAAGAGTGAGGACTGGAAGTGAGGAGACTGAGACAATGTATCTTCCTTCCTGCAGATTGATGACATGATCTTAGTCTAAGCAAAATCACTTGCTTGGAGCTTCTTTAAAAACATTTGGGGCTTTTTGAACAATTTTGACATGTGAGGAATTTTTTACAGTGGTTGTAAACTTCTGACATGAAAAATGAACAAAACATATCCCTCTATACACTCTACATACACTCGTATGTAAGGAAATTGTCCAAAATGTCTTGGTATGCTGATGCCTTAAGAGTTCCCTTCACTGGAACTAAGGGGCCAAGCCCAACCCCTGAAAAACAACCCCACACCATAATCCCCCCTCCACCAAACTTTACACTTGGCACAATGCAGTTAGGCAAGCACCGTTCTCCTGGCAACCACCAAACCCAGATAAACCCATCGGATTGTCAGAGAGAAAATCATGATTGATCACCCTAGATAACACGTCTCCAATGCTCTAGAGTCCAGTGGCGGCGTGCTTTACACCACTGCATCAAACGCTTTGCATTGCAATTGGTGATGTAAGGCTTGGATGCAGCTGCTTGGCCATGGAAATCCATTCCATGAAGCTCTCTATGCACTGTTGTTGTGCTAATCTGAAGGTAACATGAAGTTTGGAGGTCTTTAGCTATTGACTCTGCAGACAGTTGGTGACTTGTACGCACTGTGCGCTTCAGCATGTGCTGACCCCGCTCTGTCATTTTACATGGCCTACCACTTCATGGCTGAGTTGCTGTTGTTCCCAATTGCTTACATCTACATACACTCGTATGTAAGGGTTTACAACAACTTTAATGCAAAGTTTACTGAGAAGTCTGATTTAGGCTCACTCCAAGATCACAGTATAACTGCTAAGTGACAGTAATTTTAGTCCTTATTAAATAAAGTCCTGTTCCTAATCAATAAACCTGATGTTCCTAATCAATAAACATTTTATACTCATTTTTGTGAGACATGTATGGGTGCCAGTAGTTGTTAATGGTACCCCAAATGCATCTCACAAACATTTGTGGCCACCAAACTGTATTGTACTACAGTACCATGCAGTTTGGTGCAGTGCGATCTGAAAAAGTAGTGCTTACACTACTTTTTACATGGTTCTGTGCGTTTGGAAATACAGAAGTATTGGTCGGCCTGCCTTTACATGCACATGAACTTTAATAGCATCCCAGCCTTGGTCTGTAGGGTTCAATATTGAGTTGGCCCCGCCCTTTGCAGCTATAACAGCTTCAACTGTTCTGGGAAGGCTGTCCACAAGGTTTAGGAGTGTCTATGGGAAGGTCTGACCATTCTTCCAGAAGTGCATTTGTGAGGTCAGGCACTGATGTTGGATGAGAACCAGGCCAGTCAAGTTCCTCTACCCCAAACTCACTCATCCAAGTCTTTGTGGACCTTGCTTTGTACACTGGTGCACAGTCATGTTGGAACAGGAAGGGGCCATCCCCAAACTCTTCCCACAAAGTTGGGAGCACGAAATTGTCCAAAATGACTTGGTATGCTGACGTCTTAAGAGTTCCCTTCACTGGAACTAAGGGGCCAAGCCCACCCCTGAAAAACAACACCACACCATAATCCCCCCTCCACCAAACTTTACACATAGCACAATGCAGTTAGGCAAGTACTGTTCTCCTGGCAACCGCCAAACCCAGACACATCCATTGGATGGCCAGACAGAGAATCGTGATTGATCATCCTAGAGAACACGTCTCCACTGCTCTAGAGTCCAGTGGCGGCGTGCTTTACACCACTGCATCCAACGCTTTGCATTGTAATTGGTGATGTAAGGCTTGGATGCAGCTGCTCGGCCATGGAAACCCATTCCATGAAGCTCTCTGCGCACTGTAGTGCTAATTTGAAGGTCACATAAGGTTTGGAGGTCTTTAGCTATTGACTCTGAAGACAGTTGTGCGCTTCAGCATGTGCTGATCCCGCTCTGTCATTTTACGTGGCCTACCACTTGGTGGCTGAGTTGCCGTTGTTCCCAGTTGCTTCCACTTGGTTATAATACCACTAACTGACCGTGGAATATTTAGTAGCAAGGAAATGTCACAGAGGGAGTTGTTGTACAGGTGGGAACCTATCACGGTACCACACTTGAATTCACTGAGCTCCTGAGAGCGACCCATTCTTTCACAAATGTTTGTAGAAGCAGTCTGCATGCCTAGGTGCTTAAATTTATATACCTGTGGCCATGGAGGTGATTGGAACACCTGAATCCAATGATTTGGAGGGGTGTCCCGATACTTTTGGCAATATAGTATATATACAGATCCCAATTACACATGTGATTAGGGCGGGTAGAATGGCCCAGAAGATAAAAGCCAGAATTAAGGCTTCATTCCCACTTGTGATTAGGACTACAGTTCTGATTCTGGCAGCAAGAATCAGAGGCTCCTGTGCCTAGAATGGCAAGTGTCTGCGTGTAGCTGCGGATGGTCAGCTTATAGCAAGCTTATAGAAAGCAATGGCAGGCTGATGGTGAGTGTGGCTGTTTGCATATCCAGTGAATAGCTGCAGTTAGGGACAGATGTTTGTCTCTGCATACAGCCTCTCTGCATCCAGGGACGATTATCTGTTTGTAGCTACAGGTAATCAGTGGATGTCCGATTACATCTGTACAGCTGCTGCCACTGTCAGTCTGTCATTGCTTTGTATAGGGAAATAATCTATGGAAAGGAAAAGCACTGCAAGGAAGGCTTTTACCTGCAATTTGTTAAACTGACAGGGTCTCTTTAGGATGTTTCCTACTGACCCTGCCATGAAGGGCCTTGTTCAGATACTTCCTGTGATAGGGTGACAACATTCTGCCCCCGTCTCCCTACCGAGCACCTATGTTGTCACCTATATCATGTGCCACTGGTCACTGTGCTGACACATCACACAGGCATGGCTCACTGTTGTCATTATCAGGAAGCTGGTACTAAACTGTGTAGAGCTGACCATACACCAGAAGAATTTTGTTTAAAAAATGTTTGTTTTAAGAGCATTTGTTCAAATTCTGAATTGTTAGTGGAGTCAAATCAACATTACTCCACAGTGACGCGTAGAGTTGGGCTTGGACTCGAATATCGGCCGTTCGTGTGTTCAGTGAAAATACGAACAGGAAAGGCGTTCGGAGGGCTGTTCGCCCGCTGTGCCCCGTCCTGACAGTGCATTGTGATTGGCCAAAGCAATGCACCTGACCACAGATCAGGTGCAATGCTTTGGCCAGTCATAGCTTAGGATGACGTCACAAGGGGGTGGGATCACCTGGTTGAAGTCACCGGGTGGACCTGCTCCTTAGATATTAAAGAACTGTCTTCCCAAAGCAGCTGTCAGACGGTGGGAGCTAGCGTCAAGAGTGAAGAGGTTTTTTTTTTTTCTTTTTTCGGGTCAGCGGTGGGCATCATGATTGACGTTGGATCTACTTCGGGGGCCATTTTTTAATTTTTGTTTTTGATAAAGGACTGTCTTCTGTCATTTTTTACACTACACTTTTTTTTGTGACCAACAACTCATGGGGCCCCCAGGCAATAGGGGATCATGAGGGCCCCAGTGTCCTCACCCACATTCAAACCACACCCAAAAAAGCCTATGAAAAGGTACCAGTGGCATCTGATGGGGCCCCCTACGCACCCTGGGCCCTCGGGCAGTGCCCGAGCACCCAAATGATCAGTCCGCCGCTGGTTGAGCCATATTTTGAGCAGCCACCAGACTCCCTCCCTTAAGCAGCAGTGGCTGTGGATGGCGGTGTTCACATGCTTCGCTTCAAGCCTGCAGCAAAAACTATGCAACGAGTTACAATTGGCAAGTCCGGTGAACACTACCTCAGGAAAAGCAGGGAAGCGACGCAAAACCACGTTTGACCTGGCAGGGAAGCCTTGTGCAAACCACGTTTGTTTGTGCCGCAACAATGAGATTAAAGCAGGTGGGGGGGAGGTGTCAATCACCTCTGAAAAGCGATTTACAAGCTGATTGCTTTTCAGGGGAATGGCAGGTTTAGACACGGGCCTTAATCTTGCCTTAGGAAATCCAATGTTTGGAAAGAGATTGTTTATGAGCAAAGTCAAACTGTGTACAACCAACTTTACTGAGGATGGATTGAGTGCACGTAGATTGGAAGGGGCTGGAGGAGATAAGTAGCACTGAGATACAAAAAGGAGAAAATTAAAATGTGAAAACAGTATTTATGGGGGAAAAAATGGTGATTGTTTAATATGTACAATGCTTTAGCAAGTTAATGTGATTAATAATGTTATAAAATGGTGAATGAGATGCATGCACACTGATTATTTTTTTTGGGGTGGGGGAGGGGATGTGGGGTAAATAGATGGTACTTTGGAGCATTTTGTAGTCTACATAGGAGTCCATTGTGCTGTAATCGACCATCTAAATATAAATTATCAGTAGAAAATAACTGGCAGCATTCTACCAGGCTGACACTTCCCCTGTCCTGCTCACTATCATGGAGCTGCTGTGATAAGACCGTCCAGCACCATATAGGGGCCGAGCCCGCGATAAGCCCAACGAACAGACATCAGTCATTGCTAAGCCCATTGTTACAGCCTGGCGCACAGCACTGCACCTCCACCCTGCCTCTCTATCAGACACCTATATTCATTACTCCATCTTTAGGGATGAAAATCCCAATCATTATTGACTCGGCGGCGTTTGACAGCGATGGCGAGGAAAGGGTAAATGTCTGACTTTTCTTGGATCCTATTCTCTTTGTTAACCATAAAAATAATCTGCGATTTTTTTTTTTTTTTCAGTTCTTCCCCAAGCCTGTCCTGGAAGACAGAAGCGTTGAATTTGCTAAGAAATGCGGTGAATTCATCAGTGACGTAAGTAGAAGGCATTGACTTTTTCCAGAGGCTCATATGAAAGCAAAACCTCGAGTATAGTTACCGACTGTTCTGACCCAAATCCCTCCATCCCTCAGCTCTCTACAGCTTCCATCATTAATCTCTAATCTACAGAGCAATGTATGGATATACAGAATATATATATATATATATATATATAATACAAAAAAGGAAACTAGTCTTTGTATTTTTCCTAGTTAATATAGATCTATCTATCTATCTATCTATCTATCTATCTATCTATCTATCTATCTATCTATCTATCTATCTATCTATCTATCTATCTATCTCTCTATCTATCTATCTATCTATCTATCTATCTATCTATCTATCTATCTATCTATCTATATCTATCTCTATCTATCTATCTATCTATCTATCTATCTATCTATCTATATCTATCTATCTATCTATCTATCTATCTATCTATCTATCTATCTATCTATCTATCTATCTATCTATATCTATCTATCTATCTATCTACACTGCATATATATGGACAGTATATTGGAATCTGCTTTCTTCATACCATGCTTTGTTTTAATGGTAACATGTTAACGATTTATGAACTTCGTTAGTACTGCTTGGACCTTGAAGGGGATATACCCCAAAATCTTGTCCTGAAAAATTGTATTTTAGTGCAAATAAAAAGTATCATGGACAGTACTCAATTGTATCTGTCGCAAGTGCACTAATACGGCTACAAACACCTCAAGCATGAACTTCATTTGTAATTGTGTATGTAATCACCCTGTTTCTGCCTTAGCACGGTGGCTGTGCTTTACTATTCTTCACTGCCTGTACAAGTCTACCAGTCAAATCTGACGGACTGAAAGCAATGCACTCCTTTTGTACCCAATGAGCAGTTGGTAAAGAATATGTAAGCCCAACATTTCCTATCCCTGATATGTGCCTGCTGTACCATGTACTTGTATGAAAAAGTCTCCTGTCCTTTTTGTATTGCTTTGTTTGAAATCCCTGGTGTCCCTGCCAGTCCCTCTGCTTTCCCAATAAAAACTGACCACACTAGGGAGGAGAGAACAGGGTGGGCAGTTTTCTAGCTGTGCTGAGAAGTCATTGTGCTCTCCTCCAATGATCAGACTTCAGCTGAATAGCCCCCCTCCTTCACCACACAGCCATTCACTGGGAAGACAAGCGTGCTGCTGTTTCTCTTCCCCAGCTGTCTGAGTTCCTTATGCAGCTGAGAACAGGGGGTATGTGATCACTTATAAGAAGAGGAAAAGGGTATTTTTAGTTTTTTTATATCTATACACAAATGTTTTGCCTCGTATTTCTATTTTAAATTGAATGGATTGTTTTACAAGGTTAGGGTTTACAAAAACTTTAACCAGTGAGGCTGAGTGACTTTACTGACATACAGATGGCTGTTAGATAATGACAATATGGCACAGCAAGCACTTAAAGAATGTGGAAGCTTCAAATAAATAAACTCCAGGAAAGCTGCAAATACACAGCTGGAACACATTTAAGGGAGTTGATTTAACATAAAGGATTTGCATTTGTTTCCATCCAGTTCTGGAAATTACTCTGCTCCATACAGTCCTGGTTGGCAGAGCAAGGGACCAGATTTTTCCCTGCTGCAGTTTAATTACACTTACAGGTCTTGTCCCTCCCTCAGCTTGTGATTGGATAGTGAATGGAGAAGTAGCAGATTGAAGAGCTTGTCTCTCTGTCACTCTGTTCTATCAGCCGGCTCTGTGCAATGCAGCACAATGGCTTGACTCCTTGTGTTGTTTCTCCCTCTCCCAGTCTAAGGTCTGCTGTACAGGGACTGGGAGAGGCTGATACCAGGTCAAATTCAGGTGCTCACACTTCTTGTGTTTAAATACAAAAATGTAACGCTGTATTAAAGTGGAATTGTTGGCTTTAACTAACACTGTCCACTCCCCCCTCATAACACTCAGGGCTTTATTCAGCTGGAACATGGGGGAATGCCGTTCTGGCACCTCCAGCACTGAATGTATCTAATTGAAAGGGGTGGTTGGTTGTGCTGGAGGGTCTCTTGATGCTGGCTACTGGGGGTTCTGTTGTCATTAGGAAGGATCTATTGTTGCTGGGGAGGTATATTGTTGCTGGTGGGGGATCTATTGTTTCAGAGTAGTCGTATATTGCTGTAAGGGATCTTCTGTTGAGAGAGGGGTCTATTGTTGGTGGCTGCTGGAAGGTCTATTGATGCTCGCTGCTTGAAGATTTATTGTTGCTGATAGGGGTCTATTGTTGCTGGTGTAGATCTATCTGGGGGGTATTTTTTTTTGGGGGGGGGCTATTTTTTGCTGGGGAAATCTATTGTTACTGGCTGCAGGGGATCCCTCCTCCTCCTCCTCCCAGTTTGCTCAGCGCTTTACAATATAACGGGCCTTGTGCTGATCACAGGCACCATCCCCAAAAAAAAAAAAAAACATCTCTAGCAATACACACCAAACTGAGCATGTGCAGAGTGACTCCTAGGGCTCCGTACTATCAGCAGATGGATTGGGGACAGTAGAAGAAGTGAGCATAGGATGCTTGCCCCAAGACTCTGTTCTGTCATCAGATGGATTGAGGACTGTGGAAGAAGGGGAGGATCAGAGAAGTCAGGATCAAACAACCTTCTTACACAATGCAGAGGATTAACCCCTTAGTTTCCACAGTGAGTATAACAAGCATGCTTCACTGCATATACAGACTGATTTTACTGTTGTGGGTTTAGTAACACTTTATTGCTTTATGCAGAAAGGACCCTGTGCTTTGGTCACAGACAGACTGGAGGATTAGCTGCAGCTGTCTGCACACAGTGTGTACAGGGCTGACATTTCTCTGCTGCAGATTCTTGCAGTGGAGAAATTAATCACATGTCTGAACAGACCCTTAAAGAATAAGTAAAGGAAAAAGGTTTTTTTTCCCTAGATCTTGGAGTGGTGAGGGGTTAGAACCCCTGTCAGCTCTTTATTGCAGTCTGTGCCCCCATTAGAGAATAGAGAGAGGAGGGTTCTAACCCCTTTTATTTTTTTTGTTCGTTGTTGCCAAAAATGACGTTTTGTCCTTTGTAACTCCCCCCATTGTGTTTTAGAAATCTTAGTGGGTATGAATAGATTCAGAAACAGGAGATGCAGCCATTTGGGCAGGAAAGTGCCCTGTAAAGTCATAATGTAAGCACATGTAACAGGACAGGAAGACAAAAAAATGAAACTTGCAGCTCAAGTACATCCCTAGAATGATTTTAAATAAAAATGGCAAATGCATGTAAATGCAAAAACATGAGTGATATGTTTACATGTGTTTTTTTTAGTATTTATGAAGTTTATGTTTACATGTGTTTTTTTAGTATTTATGAAGTTTATGTTTACATGCGTTTTTTTTCAGTATTTATTTGAAGTTTATATTTACATGAAGTTTTTTTACAGTATTTATGAAGTATTTTGAAGTTTGCATGCATTTTTTTACTATTTATGAAGTTTATGTTTACATGTGTTTTTTTAGTGTTTATGAAGTTTATATTTACATGTGTTTTTTAGTATTTATGAAATTATAGGGGATTGTGAATTATTAAGCTCTCTCTATATAAGGGAGGTTGGGATTCATTGCATGTTATCTATCCATATCATCAGTCATAACACTTATTGTGTTTTATTCCTTGACATGCCTTTGCCATTTTTTTATTTAAAAACATTTTTTTTTTGCAAATTTGATATTGGGTTATTCATTGCACTTTACCTATTCATATTATCAGTTATATCACTTGTTGTGTTTGATGCATTTACATGCGTTTCCCTTTTTTTTTTTCTTTAATTATTCTATATTTTTTGCACATTTACATTGGATTATACACATTTTAGTTGGGCTGCACTTTTTCTGTATTGATTCCTATTGCTGTTTGAACGCACAACAGTGGGAAGCTGCAAAATAATAGATAGGGTTTTGATATATATGTGGGTTAGCATAGAGGTTTTCATTAGTTTGGTTTACATCCCTAGGATGACTGGCAGCCAAGTGTGTAGTTGTCGCACATCAGGATGGATTTGCTGCGCTATGTGCAGAGTGACCCCCCCCCCCCCCCACACACACACACTCAATAGGCATAGGATGGTGACCATCAGCTTCCACCCTCCCTTGTAAATTCCCCCCTCTAGTGGTCAATAGTGGAGTTGTGTTTTCTTTAATATATAGCTCAACATAAACATTTTTCATGACCCCTTTCCTGAGCACACACCATCAATGGCCAGACAAAATTTAGCAACATAAGTTAACTTGACAATAGCACTGACTAATTTGTCTTCCTAATTTTTTTTTATTTTTTAAGGACATTTGGATCTGGTTCACAGATATGCGAATTGAATGCGTTTTGAACCACAAATCCGATTCGCATGAAATGTGAACCAAAATCCTTTTCTATGGGGCTGGTTCACATATGTGCAGGTCGGCTGCAGTGTGATTTAAAAAACAGTTTGGTACTATTTTCAGCATGGTTTAGGTGCAATTTCCAATGTCATACACTTTAACAGTTCACAGTGAAATCGTACCCAAACTGTTGAAGGAAATCGCACCGGACTCTTTTACAAGTCGCACTTCAAACCGGCCCCACACATATGTGAACCCAAGCTTAGCGCATTTGCTTGGTACTTGGTGTTTCAATAAATACCGTGCTAAGATTTCTTCTTATATGCTGACAAATGGAAAAAAGGAAACATTTATTAACTGTATTAAAAGAAAACTTACCATAGAAGAAATGAGCTATCATTGCTAATCCGTTTCTGAAAGGACTGACTGCTTGTCTTTCATGCTGTTCCTCCAGTGCTGTAGAACATATACAATCTCCGGCCACTTTATTAGGTACACCTTGCTAGTGCCAAAAAATTCTCCCCCACACCATTACTCTATCACCACCAGCCTGAACCATTGATAGAAGGCAGGATGGATCCATGCTATCATGTTGTTTATGCCAAATTCTGACCCTACAATCTGAAAGTCGCAGCTGAAATCGAGAATTATCAGACCAGGTAACATTTTTCCAATCTTCTATTGTCCAATTTTGGTGAGTCTGTGCGAATTGTAGCCTCTGTTTCCTGTTCTTAGCTGACCGGTGTGGTCTGCTGCTGTAGCCCATCTGCTTCAAGGTTCAATGTGCTGTGCGTTCAGAGATAGTATTCTGCATACCTTGGTTGTAACGAGTGGTTATTTGAGTTACTGTTGCCTTTCTATCATCTCAAACCAGTCTGCCCATTCTCCTCTGACCTCTGACATCAACAAGGTATTTTCGTCCACACAACTGCTTACTGGACATTTTCTTTTCCTAAGACCTTTGTCTGTAAACCCTACAGATGGTTGTGCATGAAAATCCCAGTAGATCAGCAGTGTTGGAAATACTCAGACCAGCCGGTCTGGCACCAACAACCATGCCATATTCGAAGTCACCTAAATCCCCTTTCTTCCCCATTCTGATGCTCGGTTTGAACTTCAGCAAGTTGTCTTCACCAAGTCAAGATGCCTAAATTCACTGAGTTGCTGCCATGTGATTGGCTGATTAGAAATTTGTGTTACCACGCAATTGAACAGGTGTACCTAATAAAGTGGCCGTTGAGTGTACGTAAATAGGAAGTTCTGACTTTGCTTGCTGCAAACCTGGTCCAGGCCAGTGATTGGAAACATAGTGAAGCCAGAGGCAAAGAACAATTGTTCTTCAGATCTTTATGTACTGTCTAAGGCTCCATTCATACCTGGCGCTTCTGGAACGTGTGACAAAGAGCACAGAAAACGCATGTTTTGCCACACATTTCAGAAATGTATTACAAACGCATGTCGTGCTTGCAGTGCTGTTAATTACTAATGGCACCCTAGGTTTTGGTAGAAGACAAGCATTTTGGCATGCATTTTGTTGTGCGGCAAATGTGCCAAAATACATGGCAAGAAAAATACAATAGAAAGATACAAATCTGACGCAGTCAAACTGCAGGCTGAATGTTCCGGGTTATAGGCCCCATCTTTTGTTGCTCAAATACAAGCAAAGAATCATGTGACAAGAGACTGCAGCCTCGAAACACTGGAATATTTAGAGGTATCTCATGAGGCTACAGTCCAATGTAGATGCAAAGTGAAAAGCCTGAATGTGGCTGATGTGGGATAAATAAAGCTCAGATGAAAGGCCACTGAAGTCAACTTTCTGAGTTTATCACAGCTGCAGTGCTTTCTGGGGACATTATTATGTTATTAATTCTCTTGGGGTCAAGGACTGCCGTTTAGTGTTCTAAATAAAGTCCTAAAAACAGCTTATATATTACAAATATCCACACAGTAAGGCTCCATGTACACAGTGCGTTTGCAAAACTCTTTTGAACGCTGGAAATTAAAAGCAGGAAAATGCAGGGTAAAAACATCAGTTTTGCCGCGTTTACATACCGCATTTGTGTGCGTTTAGCCACATTTATGAGCGTTTGCGTTCAGAAGCATTTTTTAAAGATAAGCACAGGAGAACCTCCCAAATGCCCAGAATGCCCTGGAAAATTGTAAATTATTAACTATTTCAGACTGTTTGAGAGAGAGAGAATAGAAGAGAGAGTAGCAGTATTTGTTGAGATTAGCTGTCTTTTTTTTTTTTTTTTGTGGTGTTTGGATGTGTTTCAGCTCATTTCTGTGCAGAAATTATTGCAGCAGTGTCTATCATATTTTATTTCACGCAAAACCTCAAAGTATGGTGTACCAGGTCCATTTGAGTACCAGGAAAACACTTTTTTTTTCATGATGAAATAAGCTCTGGACAGCATCTGGAAATGGAAGAGTTAAGAAAAAATTTCCAAACACAAACGCTTATAAACACAATTAGCCGCATTTACACTCGTTTACAAGCGTTTGGCATCACAAGTTTGGTGGGTTCAAAAAAAACAACTGTAAACTCAACTGCCTGTAAATGACTGTAAACGACGATGTGTATATGGACTCATAGGAAAACATTAGGGAGAGTTCAGGGGCTGCTGAAAAAAAACACAGAAAAGCTCCTAAACGTGAGTTTATCAGCTGCAGTGTACATGGAGCCCAAGATGTATGTGTGGTTCCTTACAGAACTTATATTGTTGATGCATTTACATCATGCACCCTCTAGTGGATTCTTCATGTAGGAACATACATAGGCACCCGAGCCAGTGATAATTGTAGCTTAGCTGAAAAGTCAACTACACTGCCATGCCAGGGTTGGAGGTTTATGTCCCACAAGCAGGGGCGGACTGACAACTCATGGGGCCCCCGGGCAATAGGGGATCATGGGGCCCCTGTGTCCTTGCCCAAACTCAAAAAAGCCTATGAAAAAGGTACCAGGGGCATCTCATGGGGCCCCCTACTGACCCCGGGCCCTCGGGCAGTGCCCGAGTTTCCAAATGGTCAGTCCGCCCCTGCCCACAAGGGTGCTAGAAAGCAGTATGACCTCATCTTGGGACTGATTTTTCACACCAGCATGAAAAACTGAGAGAACTCTTTGGAACTGAGTTTCTTTTCATAGAATTGTCACTGAAAATTGACAGTCGATTGCTCTACAATTTTAAACAATTAATTTTTTTTTTTTTTAAAACACAAACCCTCAAAGAGAAAATTACAGTGGATTTTATTGGTACCTCACCAGATGTTATGTATAAAACTGTTTAACCACTTGCCCTCCAGATTTACCCCCCCCCCCCCCCCTTCCTGACCAGGCTATTTTGTTGTCCTTTTTTCCCCACAAATAGAACTTCCTTTCAGTGGTATTTGATCACCTGTGCGTCTTTTATTTTTTGTGCTATAAACAAAAAAAGACCCACAAAAAAAAACCTATATTTTTGCTATAAAATATATCCAATAAAAACATTTAAAAAAATTAAATTTCTTCACAAATTTAGGCCAAAATGTATTCTGCTACAAGTCTTTGCTAGAAAAAAAAAAATCCCGATAAGTGTATATTAATTGGTGTACGTGAAAGTTATAGCATCTACAAATGGCGGTATAGATACTGGAATTGTTTTTTTTTTTTTCTATACTAGTAATAGCGGCGATCAGCAACTTATAGTGAGACTGCGGTGGACATTCTGACACTGGGGGGGGGAACTGACTAACTGCCACTGACATCCCTAGTGACACTAACACAGTGATCAGTACTAATAAAAAGCACTGACACTGTACTAATGACACTGGGCAGAAGGGGTTAACATCTGGGGCAATCAAAGGGTTAACTGTGTGCTGTGTTTTGCATTGTGTGCTGTTTTACTTGGGAGACATGCTGCTTTGTATCTTTGTACCAGAGAAGGACACAAATAAGCTCCAGACCCATTGCCTTTTCACTCTGTATTATTTTATTTATTTCAGGTACTTATATAGCGCCATCAATTTACGCAGCTCTTTACTTATATATTGTACATTCACATCAGTCCCTAACCCTCAAGGAGCTTACAATCTACGGTCCCTAACTCAACTCACTCACATACTAGACCAATTCAGGATCCAATTAACCTACCAGCATTTCTTTGGAGGGTGGGAGGAAACCCACACAGGCACATTTAACACCCCTGCTTAAGGCAGATTGGCTACATCGACAATTGTGCACTTCAAAGATTATGGTAACTGGGGAAGGCCCTTTCCTGTTCTAGAATAACCGTGCTTCAATGTAGAAAACTTTCTTTGAGGCAGGGGTGGACTGATCATTTGGGCACTCGGGCACTGCCCGAGGGCCCAGGGTCAGTAGAAGGCCCCATGAGATGCCCCTAGTACCTTTCATAGGCTTTTTTGGGTGTGGTTTGAGTGTGGGTGAGGACACAGGGGCCCCATGATCCCTTATTGCCCGGGGGCCCCATAATTTGTCAGTCAATCCCTGCTTTGAGGAGTTAGTTTGACGAGTGGTGGGAAGGAATTTGAGTGACTTGTACAGAGCCCTGACCTCAGCCCTACTGAACAACTTTGTGATGAAGTTAAACCCCAACTGTGTTCAAGGTCTTCTTGTCCAACAACAGTACCTGACCTCACAAATTCCCCACTCCAAAATCTTGTGAAAAGCTGTACAGGAAGAGTGGAGGCTGTTACAGCCATAAAGTGGAGGCCAACTCCATATTAATGGTTTTGGAATGAGATGTCCAACAAGCTCATAAAGGTGTGATGGCCTGGTGTTTATAAACTTTTGGCCATATAGTGTATCAGTTTTTGGTTGAGTTGGTCTTTAAAAAAGTCTTTATCTTAACTCTGCCCAATTTTCTGCATACTGCTAAAAATGACTGTCTTTGTTTTTACAGATAAGCTATAAAGAGCAATATGAAAAATCCAAGGGCAAGAGCGAGTTTGTCCCTGACACAGCAAAACTGAAAGCTGTCACAGACTTCATCTCAGAGGTAAGATAAAGCTCTCTTTATTTGTATGAGTGCTTGCCCTTCAGGTTAACCTACTGCGTCCAGCATTGCCTGTGACCTCTGGTATTTGTGTCAGTAATTAAAGCCCAGTTCCAATCACCCGGTCAAAAAATAAAGTCAGCAGCTACATAAACTGTAGCTGCTGACTTTTAAAAAACAGCCACTTACCTGTCCCTTGGTCCCGTGGTGTGTCCCCCGCAGCCCGTTTCACCGGCCGTCCTGTATTCCAGGACGTCGGCATCTTCAGTGTGGGCACCCGGCTGTTCAGCTTGCGGCTTCACAGCCGGGGGCCCACTGCGCATGTGCAAGTAGTGCTGTGCTTCATGAATGGTCCTGTAGTCTTCTGGGACCTGTCATGTGCCCTAAAAGACTACAGGGCGGGAGGGAGGACACCTTCCACTTCCGATTGCCTAGGTGATCGGACTGGAAGTGGGAGCTGGTACCTGTCAAATTCGGGTACCCGCTCCCCCCGCCCCCCAAAGGTGCCAATCCTTAATGGGGAGCGGGGAGCAATCCTTAAAAGGCAACTTCTCCTTTTGGGTGGAGCTCCACTTTAAAGTGTATCTGAAGTCCAAACTTTTCTTTTTGGTATATTTACTCAGTTTTAGTGACCGTAGTCACCAGGAGAATCAAGGGATGGGATATGCTTATTTGCCTGTCTAACCCTTTTCGCTGCCAATGACTTGAACTTATTTACCTTTTCACAGGGAGCTGTCAGCTGTCTAGTAGCCACCCAATCACTTTTACATGCTGCCCCCCATCCTTGACCCCCATGTATCCCAGGCTTAACAGTTCCTCCTGGGTGGGTCACACCAGAATATCCAGAGTATTCCAAAACTTCATTGAGAGCAAGAACCAGAGTGTTTTGGGGGGCCACACATGGTCCCCTTCATCAGGGCTTATGGAATTGTGTGATCTATTTTTATGGACTCGGACAGTGGTTTAAACTCTGAATGTGGTATGTTGTCAAAGAAGGAACTTGGTAATGTTCAGCAGCTGGTTTAAGGTACCCTTACTTTGGACTCCAACATTCCAGTGTGACATTATGATTTCTGATTCAGCTTTTGTCTTTTCATCTTGGGGTCTTTGTGGTAGTTTCTCTGTGCACAGAAGCAGCCTGCATGTCACCCAGATGCCCCATAGTGTCACTATCACTGATAAAATAATATTTCAGCACTATAGCATCCCAAGGTTCCAGTACCATTGATTAATACTATAAAGCCAGCCATAGATGGATCGAATTCCTGCCAAGAGGGACTGGCTAAGATTCAATCCAACTATGGGCAGGCTGGTTGTACTGATTTCAATCCATTGATCAACCTCAGTACAACCAGCCTGTTGAATTTTTTTTATATGATCACTATTGGCGACCATAGTTGCCAGCAGTGATCATTGTGTTCTGCTGGCAGGAAAGGCTTCCCGCTGGCAGAACACGATAGCGCTGCGGGAGGGATTTCCCCATCCCCGCTGACTGTGTTGATGGAGGAATTGAGAGATTTACTTAATGTATTAAATTGCATGTATGGCCTACCTAGGCCTCCTGGGCGGGTGTCAGGATAAGGAGCAGCATTGGATAGTACATGAGATGGACAATAACAAGTATTATCATAAATAAATAAAATACACAGACACTACAAATTTGGTTCAAAGTGACTGAAAGACAGAGGTGCTTTATTAAGGGGATACCCAAATATTTATGAACCATAAAAAATTAAATAAATACTTAAACTGCATAAGCAAAGGCCTAGCTAGCCAGCTCAGGGCAATAAAAAAATGCAAAAAAAAAAAAAAACCAAGCACAAATAGACCCTAATTTATCCGTCAAGCTTTAAGCTATACAATAATAGCCCATGTGACATAACCAATCAATCGGAAAGGGAGTGAGGGAAGCTCAGAGGACAAGGGGGCACTCTTTACGTCTGGAGGAAAAGAAATGTAATCTCCAAACATGGAAAGGTTTCTTCACAGTGAGAGCTGTGCAAATGTGGAATAAACTCCCTCAAGAGTTGGTTCTGGCCAGCTCCGTGGATTGCTTTAAAAAAGTCCTGGATTCTTTCTTAGATACACAGAATATAACTGGATACTAACATTTATAGATAAAGTTGATCCAGGGAATATCCGATTGCCTCTCGGGGGAGCAGGAAGGAATTGTTTTCCCTGCAGGAGCAAATTGGATCATGCTTTGCTGGGTTTTTTTCCTTCCTCTGAATCAACTGTGGGTGTAGGATTACAACTTTTTTTTTTTTAATGGTTGAACTGGATGGACTTTTTTTTCAGCTAGACTATGTAACTATGTAAGCTATATAAATGTCAGGTAAGCATGTGGAGACTTGGGGTTGCTAGCCATCATAACCACCGAGAAGTTGCAAGGCAGAATTGCAAGAAAGCACAACCTATTAACATCCCTGTAACATCCCATGTGGTCCCTCTCTGTTTGATGCATCACATGACAGGAGATGAGTGAACATCCAAACACTGATCTAGGTCTCCTGGGTTGTATGAACCCAAAAGCGATCAGCTCTGATCACTTTCTGGTTCAGAGATGTCAATTTCTTGCCTCCCCATGATCTGTGCTCCATCAGCTTCAAAAGAGTACAGGTCTGAATATGGAAATCTAATATCACTGCAAGGATAGTCTCTTTAGTTCCCCAGAGTTCAGCTTTACATTTATTGATTCTTTCAGAAGTACATTGACAGGTCCATTTAAGTGATTGCATGGAGGCACCAGGGCCGGACTGACAACTCATGGGGCCCCCGGGCAATAGGGGATCAAACTCAAAAAAGCCTATGAAAAAGGTACCAGGGGCAGCTCATGGGGCCCCCTACTGACCCCGGGCCCTCGGGCAGTGCCCGAGTTTCCAAATGGTCAGTCCGCCCCTGGGAGGCACATATATTTGCCCAAGAAATCAGTTAATTGTGGCTTAGTGATACAGAGGAATGACAAACAAAATCCTCACAGCTGCACATGTGTGTACTTGTATGCGTTTCTGCTAATTTTCCACCTTATAAAATATCGATTTCAATCTGTTCTCAAGTATATTATTCCTATTCATGCCTCAAATATAGATGAAATTTGTAACTCCTTGCATGTGTGATCTTCTCTGTATAGGCAATGTACTTTTTGTTTGTCACTAAGATGCGTTATGTTACTAAGGGGTTTATATTTCATTATACGATCAAATAAATAAAAAACAGAATTTGCTGAGCAGATGCAGCTGTGCTTTAAGAAAGAGTTATATATTGGTTCTAATAAAAATTTTGATGCTGTTGACATATATTTTAGGGTCAGCTGTTCTATGAAGCAACGTAGAAAATGTAGACTAGGCCACACACACACCGGACAATAGTAACCATATGAGCAGCACATAATTCTGATTTATGCCGAACAACTGCAGGTAGTTTCAGTAATGGCATCGATGTGTTTAGGATTTTAACAATATCTCTTGCAGAGTCAAGTAATTGATTTTAAGGCCTGATGATGGTTGGCGGGGATCATTATATTACTTAAAAAACTCTGATTGATGACAGCAATGTGAAACTTAGAGAGAACATGATGTTTTTTTTTGTATTTTCTCATAAATGAAGGTAATAGGAAACCTTTCATCAGTTATTCTGTTTTCTTCTGTTTTAACATGTTGATCCTTAATGCTGCTACATATAGGAAGAGTTAAAAACAAAAGAAATTTTGACACTTTGGGGTTGATTTACTAAAGGCAAGTATGCTGTTCACTTGGCAACAGAATTTTCCCTTAGTTTAGTAATTGTGGTGAAAATGTACATGATTGAATGATGGAAGACAGCAGAGTCTCTCCTTATTCACTAAGCTAAGGGAAAATTCACTTGCAAAGTGAAAATCTGCCTTTAGTAACTGTAATTTCTATCTTGTCTCGGCTAATATATGCTCACACATGCAAGCATCACCCCGTACAGCTCCCTGGGGGGGGGGGGGGGATTATGGCATCTTGGCCTTGGGTACAGGGGACCTTCTCCCGGCACTGAATGAAAGACGGTCAGTTGGCTGTGTTTGGCCTTTAGGCTAAGGTTTCACAGTCTTCTAGGTTGTCTAAAAAGAAGTGAAAAAGCTGAAAAAAAGCTACTGTATTTTGAAAACAGAAACCCGACAAGTGAGCTGTTCAGAGATGTGCCTATATCATAGTGAACCTAATGAAACCTTTGGGTCCCCGCTCCAGATTCTACAGCCGGGTCCGATTCCCCTAGGGGTGCTGGCTGGGTAAAGAGTCCATCCCGACTCCTTGCAACGCGTAGAGGCAAAAAGAATGTCCCAAAAGCTGCTGACAGTGCAGTGCTATACATCGGTCAAATTCCGAAAGAATATTCTTTCTAAAATCTTTTTTTCTCACCATTAGTGGGTCACAGAACCGGCCGATTTTTGTGTGACCATCGAATTTGAGTGATCGGCTATGTTGGAAATTTTTTGAAAAATGAACTAATTTTTAATCAATCATGGAAGAATCATTTGTGAAATATCAACAAAAAAAAAATGAGCTTGAGCTGTGACCTGGAAGGAAAAGAAAATTCTTGGCCACAAAAATTCTTTCCTGTAGCAGCATGAGGTAAAGTTGAAGGCATGACTGGTTGAATTTCGAAATCAATGGTGGCACCATTGGATTACAAAATGCAAGAAATTTCTGGTTTTCTAAAGAAAATTTGTTTGGAATTTGACCCATGTATGGCTTGCATAACTCTTTCCTGGCCACGCCCCCAAATGCATTTTGCCCCATCCATGGGGCCTAGTCATAGAGGACCTCCATGGTGGGGCGAGACACATGGGGTGTGTGGCCAGGATGGAGTTAGCCTGAGGCTGCTCTCACTTTTCTGATGAATGGCCATGCACAATGTCCGTCTTATAGAATATTCTTTGCACCTATATCATAGTCATGGTGTCAGAGAAAATATGAGCTAGGGGCAAAAATATTACTTAGATAGACCTAGTGCTTTACAGAGTTCTGCCTAACAGTAAG